AAAAGCGCCAATCACCATAAGAGAGACCGTGAGACTTTGGTTGTCCTGATGCACAACAGCGACAGCTCCAGTAAAGGCAGTGCCAATTATCATCAGGGTGAGAACGAAGATTTTAAGCCGACGAATGAAAGAGGCGACCACTCCGCCAACGATCCCTCCTAAGCCGACCACGCCTGATGCCGCACAGACTTTCCATCCATAGAGATCAATAGAACTTGGCCATACCACTGTAATCATGGCAGGCCACAAGATACTAGATGCCGCGTCAGCTTGAGCCGCTTTCTCGGATCGACAGTGACACACCTAATGCCATAGAAGACCATTGCTACTACCGTCATAACGATTATGATTCCGATGTAGTGCACATTTTGAACCAGCTTCAGAGGCAGGTAAGGTTCATCCGAAGGCCAAAAGGATTCGTAGATGAAGAAGGCGATGAGTAACAATCCACCTATGACCAAGGTAGCAATGACGTGAGCGCTCTTCCAGGCTGTTTTATATTGCAGTTAGACTCGGTTAACACTAGCGAGAGGATCCGGGCTGGCTTACGGTGGATGGATCCTCCCCATGAGAGACCCAAGATCAGCAAGATAATACCAGCAGTAAATAGTAGGAAGCCGATATAGTCGAACCCCACGATGAATTTCTTGGCAGACTCGCCATGATGAAGCATCTGGAATGTCGGTGGATGATAGCAGAAGAACCAGCAAAGGAACGATATGGCGTTCATGATGAGAAGCACGTAAAAGATGAACCTCCAGCCTAGATTTGGATTGTTGGCAATTGAAACGGAGGTTTTGCCGGCGAAGACGTTGGTGGGTAGCCCGATGAACCAAACCCCGCCACCAGCGAGGAAACGATACTTGATGGGCACGAGTTCGCCGACCACAAACGCGTATGATGCCTGAGATGCGGTCGCTACAATCCGAGATCAGAGCGGTGAAATCTCTGCCTCCACAATTGACACTGATACTCACCTAAACCAATCAATGTCATGCCTCCGATCAAAGTCGGAACATTCTGGGCTCTTGCACAAACCACGGTGCCCACTATGGCAATAACAGATCCACCGACAAAGAACCAGCGCCGACCAAAGATATCGGTGACTCGCCCGACGAGAGTACCTAAAGAGTAGAGAATAGTCAGTGACGTTTCTCCTTGGCTGAGGTCGGGGGTCTACTCACTTCCTATGGCGAATGTGAGAATGTAAACGATAGAGACCCATGAGATGCTGGCACTTGGCCCAATGTCCGCGTTAATCAAGCCCAGCGCTGGAGCTGCAAGACCAAAGGCTCCATTGCCGGCAGCTAAACCGAGACCAGCTGCCTAGTGGAAGCTGTTAGAATGTCTCATCCATGCGTGGGCCACGAGCTCACAAGAAATGTCCCCAAGAACAATGGACTGCGGTAATAGCCCTTTGGTGGTTGCAAATCCTGCACGATAGGCTGCGGTTGATCGATTGCAACAGTGGTGCCATCTTCACCATATTCATAATGTCGATAAGACGGCGAGCCTTTTCCGTCGGCGGAAGCAGGTGAAATCTCAACTTGTGAAGCCATGAGTGCGTATACCTGTATGAGCTTCTCTAGGTGGACTGACACTTGCAAGCACTCGTCTAAATCTCTAATGTATAGCCACCAACCGTCTCAATTGCCCGGAAAGAAGACTGTTGTTCCGAATGCATTCGGATAAGCCACCACTCGTTTGAGCCTAGCCGCCCACAGCCCCATGGGCCAGAAGGTCGTCTCTCCTTCAGAACGGGATCTAGACCCGTCTACTCCACACCTCTCCAAAGAACAGATTCAATCGTAGTGTGTGAGTTGCTGAGCCGGTCCGCTCTGTCCCCTTTCCCCTCTGGTATTAGACATAGCCTTGGGAGAGACGGGTCACGAGTCGCACGAGCTCGACTCACTACATCCATCGGGCATGTAGAAGGATCCACAGAACAACGAGGCCAAGTCACGTGGTGCGATCTGTTAGCCCTGTGTGCTCTGTGCGCTCTGCATGAGTATTACATATACACCTTCATTACTCCTGGATAGTTACACTCCCTGCGTAGCCAATTCATGTATCTACTGGACTATTGTTGACAGGGTCGCACTATAACCACCTGAGACGCTAGATGTTTAATTAACTGCGCCACCTACTTCAACACCGTTGTTCTCGCCGTTCTGCAATGGTACGACGACGGAATAGGAGGTTTCAGGAATGGCCTTCAAATTACAGGCCAAAGCGTATATAAACAGACTGAGTCTCTCTGAATAGACAAGACACGTATCAATCAGATAGAACCACTCCTGTTCTGTGTACAACAACTATACTGTTCCCAGTGACGTGGCTGCTTATACCTTGTGCTTCCCTCATTCAGTTCATACTATCAAGGATCTGTTCCTGAGGAGGCTAACCTCAATAGGCGATACGGCAGCAGCTCTAACACCTGGTTGAAGCTGGGCGGAATTGATTATCTGTTATTGCTGACCAAGACAAGTCCTCTGGCCGAGTCAAAGCGAATATCCGGATCTCGGAATGACATCTTTCTCTTGGTTGTACTTTTCTGGTTCGGAAGTAACGAGCGGCAATGTTGTGCGGTACTGGTTGCGTCGCATCTGCCTCCGTGACAGTAACTCATTAGCATTTGTTCTATCATGCCGCAAGGTTGACGTTGATTCGAGGCTGTGCTTATTCAGGTATGAACCAGGCTTAGATGCGCCATTCTTTCCTTCCACTAACTTTGATATCGACGTCGGCTTAGGCGAGTGCTCATCTGAATTTTCTGACTTCCGCTCTGTACAGATTATAGCGTAGTCTCGAGGTATGGGCCACTTCTACATAGATCAAATTTCCCTCGATTCTCCGCTTGATTTATTTTTTGACCTCGGACAACATGTTTCAACGAGACAGCTTGGGAAAATTCTATGTCAATGTATTTTTTGACTCATCCAAATCCCTCTGGAGCTTTGGCTATCGCTCCTCAGGAGTCAGGGATCTCGCGGAGCAGGAGTAGCAGCCCCTCGCGAGGGAGCTTTGATGGTCATTGAAAAGGATCAGTTCCAGCAAATTTCCCGGCGCCTGCGGAGAGAGGAAGCGTACTGTACGTGCTAGGTCATGTGGCTGACTACATCCCCTCGTTGGTATATTCGAAATAACCCAAAATTTATCAGTTCGAGCGTCCAGGAACGGGTTATCGGCGTAACTAGAGCTAATATTGATGATGCTGATGTTGTTGGGACTATACCTCGCTGGAATAGCACTTATTAGGCTGTTGGAGACCAAGCACAATATGATGTTAGCACATAGAGACAGTTGAGGTGCAAAAGCAGTACCTCAACCTTCTCGTGTTCTTTATTGGTGCCTATGCCCGCTACCTCATGCTCTTACTGTTCTTTGTAGGTATCAATGCGTCGTCCCGAAGTCCACCATAATGGTGTCCTATATCGACCAGTAACGAATCTACTCGCTCTCAACAGCCCACTATCTGAGAATTTGCCGACAAGCTGTAATGCATTAGGATTGGCTTGATAGGGGCATGTATTGGCGCAGTATTGAAAGACTATACTTCCTGCTGATTGTTCTCAGGCGAGAAATATTACCATGACTTCCCAGTTAGCTACCACTCCCGAACAAACCGCCATCATGACTAGGAGATGTTCAAGAATGCTTTAACTCGGCCCAGCCTCGTACAGTAGTGTACCGCTCCTGACCGATTGTCATTTCCTGGTCTGCATGTCACCTCCGGCCTCCTGCACCCAATCCACGAATTTTCGCGCCAGAAGAGTGTCAAGATAGAATCGAGCGTGGACGACTTTCCCGTTCTTGATCTCGAAGAGCCAGTGGTAAACGTTTTGGTAGATGTTCTTGCCGACTGACATGTCAGAGGCAGCCTCGACGGCCACACGATTGGCCTCGGCCGTGATACCAGTGACCCAGACCTTGAGCTCCGTCACGCGTGACTCGGCATAGACATAGTCTTTGAATTCTTGCTTTGTCATGCGCCCGCCGAGCTCAGGGAATAACTCTTTCTTGACCATGGTTTCGCAAATAGCATCGTCGCTGAACAGCTCGAAGAACGGCTCCACATCCCCGCCTTTGGGTATGCACCACCGCTCGGTCAGTTGTCGTCCGATCTCTCGGGTTCGCTCGATGGTGTCAATATCACCCATGTTGACAAGCTCAGTCTAATGGCCCTGAGTACGGAAAGTCGGAGACCAAGATGAATATGAAGAATTGGGAGCATATTTTTCTCTGGTATAGCAGAGACCACTTTATTAATGGTCTCTTCGAAGTCAAGAGTGAGCCCCACCAAAGGACCCACCCCATCTGGCCCATTTATTGGAGGAATTTCGGGTAAGAGTACCGTGAATTGGATTTATAAGCGTTCATTGTATTGAACTCCTACAAAGTTATACTGTATCCTGTGTCATTCCGAGTATGGATCTAAGTCTTGAGACTAGTCCAAATTTCCACTGCCACGGGACGAACAGTTTTGTTCGGAGTAGCGAAGGATTGACCAATTATTGCGCTCGCTCTCGTCCTCTGATACAAATGATTAAGTAGCAGCTCCAATTGGGGAGCCTACAATAGTCTTACCCTATCACGCGGACTTCCGTATACATTCGAAGAGTTTTAGGGATAACCTTTGATTTTGTTGGGAAAGTTTTTGGAACGATCTAGGCACAGCTCCATAGAACGTGTGCAAAGTATCATGTCAATTATCCCTAGGGACAATGACTGTGCCAGCCCAAGCGCTTATCTATCGCATTCCTATTGCTAATGATACCCAGGAATGCTATGTATACCCTGCGTCGAATGTGAAATGGCGTACGCAGGAATGAAACGCTCCAAGGAGGTAAGAGATTTCGCGCGCTCCAGATTATTGAAGTGTCAAGGTTCCAATTGCTAGTATGTGCTATGAAAGGACCATACTGTTATCAGAGAATATCAGCATAGTATTTGGCAGAATTGTTAGCTGATCGCATTACTCCTAGGGTGACAGGACAGGACTATTCCTCTTGACTGGGAGCGACTTTGACGGGGACGTGCTGTAGCCTGCGAGAAATGCTCGATGTCATGTGTGGATCGAGGTCCCTTGCAGTGCAAGCTGCGGCGATTGAAATAGCTCCAAACACGATGCTGACCAAGAAAATGACCTTGAACGTCACTTCGTACGCTGTCTTGACAGCGCTCCCCACAGCGACCAACACAGCAGCATCAACGCCTGGGACCGCCTCTAGGTTAGACTCTACACCGGAAGCAATGGCTTGTAGAACGTTTGGTACTGATTCTTTCGGAAGGCCAGCCTGAACAGCCGCAGGGACCACGTACTTTGGCACGTTCTGGGTTAGTTGGTTTTGTAGCTGATGTCCATGGTTAGACAAAGGTTATCACACAGCAAAAAGGTCTACCACGTTGTTCTCAGACTTACAATTGTCACATATATTGAGGCTGATCGGTCTCATTGTCAAATCAGGTACTACGTCATGAAGGGTAGACGGCACTTACTTGCCAGGGCAGACATCAGGGTCCGAAAGGCTGCCACAACTGCGTATGCAACACCGATGTCTTTGTCTTTCGCAACCATGGGAGCGCCGACCTGACTGACAACCTCCATATAGCCGATCATGATTGCTGATATGGTTGTGAATGCCACTGACATAGCCGGCGTGTTACGAGTGACGCCGGCCATTCCGCCAATAAGGCTGGTGAAGGTCACGCATGTGGCGATCAGTTGTAATCTCGTGTGACCCAGAGGTTTCGTCAAAGCGCCTCCCAGAAGCTGCCCCGCGGGAGCTCCAGCAGTTATTGCTAACTGGTATATCTTAGTGCTACCCATAGCAAATGGGCTTCGTTTCATACTGAGTACCAGCCAGATTTTCGTTGTGAGGCGCCAAACAAGTTTGTGGTTTCCTGACCATAAACCACGTTCAGCGCATAGAAGATCATGGAGCCAACAGCTCCGGTGATGGCAAAAGCCACATAGTCGCGATTTTTGAACAGGTAGAACGGAATCAGTCTACCCTCAGCAGGCACAAATCTTTCTGTCCATGCCATCAGCAGCCACTTCGCAATTATGCTGGGTCTGAGGACTTGCCCCAGAGTAAAAAACTGGCAAATCCGACAGGGCCAACACAAATTGTAGCAATCACGCGTGGAGATCCCCAAGCTGCGGAAAAGAGGTCGATTAGGCTACCTCTTTGGGTCAAAGTGGTGCTTCAACTTACGATACTGCTGGCCGCCCCAGGATATACCAAGTAGGAAACAGACAATTGAGCCAAGATAAATTCCTAAGCCTACCCAGTCGATTCTTGCCAGCGCTTGCCACTTTGTTTGGTTCCGATGAAGGAGACGGAAGTCCGGAGGGTGGTAGAAGAAGAAAAGTAAGATGAAAGCAAGACCGGCCATGATAGCGGGCAGGTAGTAGATCCATCGCCATCCTTCATTGATGTTTGAACACAAAGCAATACCTGTAAGATGGTTGTGAACCAATGTCAAATATCGTCGTGCTAGGTTGAACTCGTACCGACAGGTGGAATGAAGACCATGAGTGGGAACAACCATGCCCAGAGAAAGCTAACAGCTATGAATCTGTGTTTGTTTGGAACCAGTTCGGGTAGGGCACTCGTACAGGTTTGCTGACAACATGTCGCCAGCCCTGCCAGCGTTTGCTGTCATAAGCCGGTACGTTAGTTTAGGCTGCTCTATCCAGCTGTGACGGGTGGCTGGACGGGATGGACCCACCCCTGCGATCAGCATTTCAGACTTTACCGCTCGGCTGCATATCAAGTTGCCAACAACACTTAGAGCGTTTCCGCAGAGGAAGAAGTAACGACGGCCAAAAATGTCTGACAAACGTCCCACCACTGGAAAGATCGCTGTTTGTGCCACAATGCTCGATAATGTCACCCAAACAATGTTTGGTGGATTCCCTTCCTCGAATTGTCACTAACGCCATACCTGCGGCGGTTCTCGAGTGGGAACACCTACCCATGGCAGGACTGATATAGGGGTACAGCAAGATAGATTGCATAACAAAAAAGATGTATGTTGCCTGATAACCTAGTCCAAAGCCCTATGAAATGATGTTAGTCACGGTCACACTGGCCTAACATTTGGCGAGATAAGGACAGAGTGTGTTCACCAGCATGGTCCCTAGGAAACTCGAACTACGAAAGTAGTTCTTGGGCAACGCGGCAGCGGAGTCGCCTCCAATGGCCCGACTGTCGATCTCCTCATCTGTAGTCTGGGTCTGAGTTAGCGTGAGCTGCAGCCCATGGTACTCGTGCTGTTCAGCAGAAGATTTTTCCTCTTCCAACGCCGTCATTATTTTGATATTGTCAGGATCGAGGAGCTAGAGAGTGGTACTTTTGGATTGATGGTTGGACTTCCAGATCCTCCCCACGATACAAACTAGGCAGATACGTAGACTTTGCTGTCGGCCTACGCACCCCATTCTCCGTAGAGTATGGGCACGTTCCCCGATTTTCCGGCCCCGGAAACTGCGGAGGCTCCATGTTTTCGGCGAGCACTACCCCAAGGGACTGGCGCGGTAAGCTTAGAACTGCCTGCCAAATGTACTTCGAGCCTCAAAAGCAAAGCGTTCATCAGCCATCAGTCGCTACTCGTTGCCACACGTCAGTCATCCGATAAATCACAATTTGGCCTCATCTTCGAGCAAACAAGTTTTTTAGAATCCATGGATTCCACGCCAGCCATTAAGCTCGTCGCGTTTCTGAAAAGAAAACCTGGAATCACAATGGATGAATTTCAGGACCATTACGAGAATCAACATGTGCCACTGGTGCTTCGCTCCACGCCCTCAATATCTCGCTACGTGAGAAACTATGTGAGAGCAGACTCAACCTTTTCAAATCTCGACAGTCTCACGACACCATTGTGCGATGTGGTCACCGAGGCTTGGTTCGACTCGGAGGCAGATTTCGCAAAGTTTCAATTGGACGCTTCCCGTCCAGAAGTACGGAAACTGATATCGGAAGATGAACTTAGCTTCCTCGATCGAAGTGCCATCAGAATGTTCCTCGTTCGCGAATGTATCTCTACAATTTCCTAAACCTGCACTGCGGATGGACATATGCTATGAAGGAAATGAAAGAATGAAGAATAGTTTTGCTACCTCGCAGGGTACCAGTTCTGGATGGACAACAAAGAAGATATGGGCGTTGATGCGCTGTTGCAGCAGACCTATAATCAAGGAACATGAATGATAGCCAGAGCCATGCTCAAGAGACATTTCCATCACTTACTAGAAAGCTCGAAAGAGTTAAAATGGCGATCCATCCAACAACCCGGAATGTCGCCCCGAAGACAGATACGTCCTCGAGAACTGCTTGTGCAGGTTCATCCTTTTGCATGAAACCCGAAGACTTTGGGCACATATCACAACGTATATGATAGAAGGCAAGAGTGGCCCACGTGGCTAGCCGTTATTCCCACTGATGCACTTTTGAACTAATCCCAAATAACTACCTTGAACTCCGTATAGCTCGGGATGAAGGCCTGGAGATCTCCATTCCCTGTCAGTCTACCGAACGGTTTGGTCCGGAGGCAAACGGTCTGCAGCATGTGATTCAGCTACATCAACAAAATCCAGCTTCACGATGTTATTCTGTTTTCTTAGACCAGCTCATTACTCACTACACCAAGCATCGATTACCAAAACATGGATTTGTTGACGTGTGCTGTGCTGTCAGCAGGGGAAGCACTCATTCTGACGCACACCAGAACTGTTGCGAAAGTCACTCAATCAACATGTGCAGCTTTATTTCTCTTGCAATACCTCCTTCTGAAGTTCTATAGGTGCTATGCCTATCCACGCTATTTTTCGCCTCTGCGTGATGTACCGGGGCCAACGGTGATCTCAGCCTCTCTTGGGATTAAATCTTGAAATTTGCTCATTGATAATTAAGGACCATAACTTTGTGCTTGGACAAGCATATAATATCTACAAGGGAGGCCCTTCGGAGACACATGTCTCATGGATGAGGCAATTCCCGAATGAGCCGCTTATACGATTCTTTGATATTGGCTACACGGAGGCGATCATGCTGAACGATGTCAAAACTACCCGAGAAGCTCTGCAATCGCAATGTTACAAGCTGGTAAAACCTAATTTTGTAAGACGGGTGCTGGGCGAGATTAATGGCACCGGGGTCTTCTTCGAGGAGGGCGAATCCCACAAGCGGCAACGCCGACTACTGACTGGTAAGTATCATACAATGCTTTATGCGATGAAAGTAACGCTAACATCTTCGCTCTTCCGAAGGGCCTTTTTCGTACGGAAGCATCAAGGAGATGTTGCCATTTTTCGACGAGAAAGCACAAGAGCTGGTTGGCGTTCTCCGTACGTCAATCAGGCGTAATGGCGACGAACTGGTTGAATGTAAGTCGAGAGTCTCAGATCGCGTCTAACCGTCCACGTATCCAGCAAATTAACACTTCTGCAGTGAGCTCGCTGTTCTCCAATGTAACCCTGGACATAATCACACTGGCTTGTTTGGGACTACGGATGCACAATATGACAGAACCTTCACCGTTTGCACTGGCGTACGCTAAGGTCTTTGAAAACACCCCATGGTCAGCTATAATGCACGCTCTGAATGTTTATATCCCCATCCGCAAACTGGTGCCCGTCAAAGCGAATCGTGAATTTTTGCAGGCCAACCAAACCGTGAGAAATCTTCTCAGACAGCAAATCCGCAACAAACGGGCAGCTTTGGAAGGAAAAGAAAAGGCAGCAATAACAGATAAAGACCTGCTGGCATTGATGATCAAGGAAAGAGGCCAAGGTGCAGAGATCTGGACCGAAGACGAAATGTTGGGTCACGTAAGTTTAGAAACACCTTGGGTTGCAAATCAAGAGAGACTGACGTTTGAACAGCTTCTCAATTTCATGTCTGCCGGTAAAATTTCCGATGCTGCCATTTTTTAACTCTTGCATTCCCCAGCGAAGCTGATGTTGCTCTCAGGGCACGAAACCACAGCGGGCACTCTAACATTGACAACCCATACCTTGGCCAACCACAAGGATATTCAAGACAGACTCCGGAAAGAAATAACCCAAAACTTCCCCTCCGGCGCCTCTCTCGACGTCGCAACGATAGATAAAATGCCATACCTAAAGAACTTCTCTCAAGAAATCCTGCGTTTTTACGCGCCAGGTAGGGCTCCATCAACCCGTGTGGCATGTACGGCCGACTTACGACCATGAATGGCAGGCATCGTGAATTGGAGAGAAGTTGCAGAAGACATTGTTTTAGCGGGCACAAGGGTCCCCAAAGGTACCATCATCCACATCGCTCCCGCAGCTCTTCATCACAATGCTTCCATCTGGGGTCCCACGGTGGACGAGTTCGATCCTGACCGATGGGACAACATATCTGGTGATGCGAAGGATCCTTTCGCTTTCGGCTCCTTCCACAATGGCCCTCGTATTTGCATTGGGAAGTCCTTCGCACTCCTTGAGTACAAGGTCATACTGATCCGATTACTGCAAAATTTTATGTTCGAGGATCCAGAACAGAAACCACTCGAATTCGAACGAGGTGCTGTAAGTTTGCGACCAAAAGGCGGAATGCACCTGAGAGTACAGCCGATAAACAACAAAGGACAGGAATGAATTTTCCATTTGACAATGACGCCTATCGTTTGCGCTGGATGGTTGGGGATGGTTTTTGCTCGTGGCATGTGGAAAGACTATCATTCATTGGGGTATATCGAATATGCCTTAGCACAAGATTCAGGCGAAAAACAACCTTTCGAAGCTAGGTTACTTTTTCACCAGCGTTTTGACCTTTTGCCGCTGCTACATAGATCCTGAGTACCGAATTCGAACATTAAGCCACGGGACATGGGCCGAGTATTGTTAAGGCCGCAGATTTGCATGTTTCTTACTCAATGCCCCTTTCGTCTCATAAATGGCCCTTACTAATTGTGAAAGGTGCTCTACAACTCAAGCGTGGGCAACGTGCAATTTCAAATATTGTTGCAAAAGCACGAGCCGGGCAACATGTCTGGAAGCATTTCTGGAAATCAAAGACGAACAGAGACTTCCCCTATGTTCTCGCGCCCCGAATTGAAGGGGAGTGGAAAACGAACCCTTGTCCTCGGTTGCGTAGATCCGACTTAAAGGAGATTAGCGCTAGTGGTGGCTCCTTCACGTCCTCAGTTAAGGAACGCTGTAGTTCTAATGGAGACAAAACTCTGAGGATTCATGTTATTGCGCTATTGTGATCCTGATATCAAAGTCACTACGTTTCGGGTGAAGCGAGGCTTGAAAGTCCTGTTTTGGGACGTGTGAATTAGTCTGTCAATTGTCCATCAATATGGCGCCCCTTGAACCAGGTAGACCACTTGCCTTTTCTTGCTGAACGACAAGCTAATCAAAACCTACAGAAGTCTCGGCGTTTACGTCAAAGATACACAACGACACCTACCCAGAGATAGATCCGCTCACTGTGGATCATGCCGGCAGGTACGTCGTTATCGTTGGAGCAAGTAAGGGTATTGGCAGGGAGATGGCGCGATCCTTCACCAAGGCCGGCGTGTCTGGGATAGCAATCGGGGCACGATCTGATCTCAGTTCTACCGTTGAGGCTATCAAGCAAGCTGCCACTGAGTCTAAGAAGTCCCTGCCCAAGATCCTGCCTCTAAACCTCGATGTGAACAGCGAGGAAAGTATTGCCAAGGCATTTTCGAAAGTTAAGGAAGAATTCGGGTGGGTGGACATTCTGGTCAATAATGCTGGAGTGGTCGAGTCTCCCTTCCGACCTATTGGAGATACTGTGACAGGGGACTGGTGGGATGTTGTTACAACCAACCTCAGAGGCACCTACCTGAGCACGCGTGCATTTCTTCCACTTCTCTTAGAGAAGAGCAGCCAGAAGACCGTTATCAACACGACCAGCATCGCTGCTCATTGGGTCTATCCTGGATCGTCGGCATATGGAACGAGCAAGCTGGGAGTGGTGCGCCTTACCGAGTTCCTGGATGAGGAATACTCGTCTCGCGGGCTTTTGACGTACACCATCCATCCAGGAGCGATCATGACCGACTTGATATCTAGAATGCCGAAAGAAGTACACAGCCAAATGACTGACACCGAAGCACTTCCAGCTAATGTCATCACGTATCTGACCAGCGAGAGGCAAGAATGGCTAGGAGGAAGGTATATTTCATGCACATGGGATGTGCCAGAGCTTCTGGCAAGAAAGGATGAAATCGTGGTTGGCAACAAACTAAAAGTCCGTCTTCGCGTTTGAGAAACTCCGCGGGCAACTGTCATAGGGTCTCTCACCTGCTCGATAA